TGAGGTAGAAGGGTGACTGCTTGGTCGTCGCAGATGGGGCGTTATTGTACGCAAACTCGAGCATGGGAAGGGAATCCTCCCACTTGGTGATGTCCGGGCAGTTCGTGCGAATCAGCTGCTCCATCGTTTGGTTTGTCCTCTCTGTCTGTCCGTCGGTTTGCGGGTGGTAGGACGACGAAAATTGCAGGCGGGTGCCGTACTGTGCCCGTGTCTCCTGCCAAAATTTCGACGTGAATTTCGGATCTCGATCGCTGATGATCGCCGTAGGTAACCCGTGTAGGCGTACGACGGTCGAGATGAAGAGTCGCGCTGTTTCTTCGGCTGTGATCGTTGTACGGCAGGGCGCGAAATGCACCATTTTCGTTAAGCGATCAACGACGACGAGCACGGAATCGTTGCCACTTGCGCCAGCTGGAAGGCCCGTGACGAAATCCATAGTCACTTGTTGCCACGGTCGTTCGGGTGGCTTGAGGGGCTGCAATAATCCAGCTGGGCGTTGTCGTGATGATTTCATTGCCTGGCAGGTCGGGCAGGCGGACACATAGCGCTGCACGTCCGACGCCATGTCGGGCCAGTAGTAATTCCGTTGTAGCAGCTTCAATGTTTTGTCGACGCCGAAATGCCCGGAGAGGTTGGAGTCGTGTACTTCCTGCGTCAGCAATTCGCGTAAGGGCCGGTAGGAAGGTACCCAAACTCGGTTAGTACCGACTTTTAGGTAGTAACTTCCATGCGGTGTAGTGACCCCGCGGTGTTGACTGGTCCTGAAAAACCTGTCGATCCTGTAGCCGTGCTTGAACAATCATGCCAATAAAGGGTTGGAATGGGCGATTAGTACTGCTGCGGTCTGCATGGATGGGCGGGTCAGGGCGTCGGCGATGTTGTTGGTGCCCTTTTTATATGTGATGGTGTAGCGGAAATTTGATTCGAGGTAGTCGAGCCACCGGATTTGTCGTGGGTTGAGCTGTGGTTGGCTGCGCATGTACTGTAATGACTTGTGGTCAGTTCGGATTGTGACATCCGCTCCCGTGAGGTAGCATCGCCAGGTACGAAACGCATGCACGATGGCGAGCATTTCCTTGTCGTGAACCGGGTAGTTGCGCTCGGGCGGCTGCATTTTTCTTGACTCGTACGCGATGTCTTGCAGCCCGTTGCCAAAATCCTGAAATAGCACATCGCCGACGACGAAATCGCTGGCGTCCGTCACGACTTCGAACGGTCGAGATGGATCTGCCAGCCGAAGCACCGGGGGTGAACTCAAAATTCTCTTCAGCTCGTTGAAAGCCAGCTGTTCTCTCTCCCCCCAAGAAAACTACACGCCCTTATGCAGCAGATTGGTTAACGGCCTGGTTACCCCCGCCATATTGGGTACAAAGCGACGGACGTAGTTAACGAAGCCGAGGAAACTCTGCAATTCGGTGATGTTCGTGGGCGGCTTCCACTCCGAGATCGCTGTTATTTTACGAGGGTCGATTTTAATGCCGTCCCCTGAGACCATGTGCCCCAGAAACTCCAGCTCCGGCTGTAAGAACTCACACTTAGAGCCCTTCGTAATCAGTCGGTTCTGCTGCAAGCGTTGGAACACCTCGTCCAAGTCCTGTAAATGTTGCTCCCGTGTCTTGCTATACACCAGGATGTCATCCAGGTAAACAATAACTTTTTTGTCCAACATGTCCCGAAACACCCCATTCATAGTGAGCTGGAAAGTCGATGGTGCGTTCGTCAACCCGAACGGCATCACGGTGTACTCATAACTGCCGTAACGGGTGCGGAATGCAGTCTTCGGGCAGTCGTCGGCGAACACACGAATCTGGTGGTAGCCACCTCGCAAATCGATCTTCGAGAAGAACCGAGCCCCGCGAAGTTGGTCTAGCAGGTCGTCGGTTCGTGGGATCGGGTGACGCGACTTGATCGTGACCCGATTCAGCGCTCGGTAGTCGATGCACATGCGCAGGCCTCTGTCCTTCTTCGGCGTGAATAGTATCGGGGCGGCATACGGTGACGTGCTCGGCCGGATAAAACCCTTGGAAAGCAGATAGTCTAGCTGTCTCTGCAATTCGTCGAGCTCCGGTTGGTTGAGCCGCCATTGTGACCGGATGGTTGGTTTCGCGCCTGGCTCCAGCTCGATCTTGTGGTCTTCCGGACGCTGAGGTGGCAACCCATCAGGCAGGTCATCCGCGAAAATTTCGGGATACCTCCGAATTATGGTCGCCACGTCGTCGGGTACAGCAGCGCAGAGCGTGTCGATGTCGGCGATTTTTTCGGAAGCCACCACCTCGTACAAATGTACGGCGTAGCCTTGCGCTCCCCGTTTTATCGCCCTTTTCAGCGTTATCGCGTTGACACGTGTTGTCGTCAGCTCCGGCTCCGCCCATTTCGGAAGTGTCACGCGCCCCTTGTTGCACAGCACCGTGATTGCTCCCGTCGTCCAGTGGATGGTCGGATTGAAACGCTGCAGCCAATCCCTTCCGAGCAGCACATCGCAACTGTCCAGTGTTGTCGCCAGCATTCGCATGGAGAACCCGAAATCGTCGCCGCACTTCATCCGAATTTGTCGGACCTCGTCCTTGATCGCCAGCGGTGTTCCGTCCACCAATCGCGCATCAATCTCTGGTAGACACCTGTCCAGCCTGACTCCAATTTTTTTGGCCGTTGCCAGGTTGACGAGGCTGTGGCTCGCCCCCCCGTCAACGAATAGTTTTATTTCATGCCCGTTAACCCTCCCTACTACCAGTACAGGGTGATCCACGTGTTCATCCACCTTATTCTTCCGGTTGCGGTCGATAGTCCGTATCGGTACCACCACTCGGTGTGGATGTTGATTGCCGGGCGACGGGGTCGCGTCAGTAGGTGGCCCGATTGCTACTGACTCGTCTCTTTTCCCGACCCCTCTCCATCGTTCCTGTTTCCCTGTTTCAGCTTCGGGCAGTCCTTCCTCCAGTGGCCCGGTTGGTTGCAATTGAAGCACGTGTTAGGTCCTCGCCTCGGTGCATCCACCCCGTTGATTGTGGGCTGGCGCGGCGGTCCACGAAATTGAGTGCCCTCCCGGGAACTCATTCTCGCCCATTGCATCAACGCATCCGTTGATTCAGCCACCTGGACGGCTTCGAGAAAAACACGTGGCCTCGCCCGTCGCACCTCGTACTGTACTTCGTACTTGAGGCCTGCGACATAGCGGTCGAGTCGCACCGCGTCACTCATGTCGTCCACTTGGTCAGCTAAATTGCAGAATGTCGCCGTGTAATCTTGGACCGACGCCACCTGCTTCCAGGTACGCAGCTTCATGCGGGCAGAATCCGAGGCGGATACATGCTCGAATCTGCTTCGCAGCGCGGCGCCCCACTCCGTCCATGTGCGTATCGTGGCCACTTCGAAGATTGAAGTTGCCTGTTGCGTGACAGCTGCCCAGGTCCCGTCGTTCGCACGTGATATCCCTGCCGGAGCCCACTCTGGTTGAAGAGTCCGCTTCCACCACTCCAACGCCGGTCCTCGCAATAGTGATACTGCGAAATTAATGCAGGTGGCATCGTCCGCAATTTGCGCAGCATTGAAAAATACCTCCACACCGAACAACCAAGCCGACACAGTGACGGTTTTGTCGCTGGGGTTGAACGGGGGCGGGTTCGTCGGTTTTATCTTAACAGTTGTCGAGACTGTTGCTGCTGCATGCACCGAGGGCGCCATTGAAGCCATCACCGGGGTTGTCGCTGTTGCCTGTCGTGGCGTCATCTGCGACTGTTGCCTCGGCTGTGACTGTTGCTCCTGCGTCCTTTGTGCTCGTTGCATCCGTGCCATCCCCTCGTCTTCAGCGTCCAGCGAGTTCTGTAGCTCGCTGAGGACCTCGTCGTTAGGTGCGAAACTGCTACTCGCTTCATCCACGGCGGGCGACTCCTGACGCGCTTCACCTCGCGTCTGGCGTAGTTCGGCGTTTTCCGCCCTCAGGCGCTCCAACTCGCCAGACATAGTCTGCATGTTGGCCTGCATCGCCCGGAATTGCTGCATGAACTCGTTGAACTCCGCCTGGTCCATCTGTCGCAGGCTTCGTCTAGCGGGCAGGGGGTTATCAGCGATTTTTATGGTTTTGATGAAGGCGCAAACGCTATTAGTCGGAGCGAGATAATCGTGTCTATCTCTCAGCCGACCGCTTTGCAGCCCACCAAACCTATCGCACCCCGGTACTAAACTACCCCGGAAAGTGGAGGGTAACCTTGGAAAGTAGCTCTGATACCAGGTGTTATGAGTTGTATGAAAGAAGAGTGCGCAGAATTCAATATCGCGGAAGTGATTACAACTACTGAGCAAGCAACGGGGCCTAGGCATAATATAGCATAGCTAGCTAAGTCGGGACCGCGGAGTCATGCGAGGGTTGGGTGTAGGTTTGGGTTTGGAAAACCCGAAGGCGACGCGGAAGACGTTCGGAAGGCGAGGTCGACGGACCGAGCCTGAATTCCGAAAATTGGGGTTGTACGCGTAAGAGGTGCCTCAGTAAGGAATTGGCGAAAATTCCTTACATTGTTCGAAATGTGTAACGCTGCATGACAGCTGTGTAACCTAATCGTTCGGTCACGTTTCGCGCAAGCTACACTGCCTCCGATTTCATGATAAGTCCAGAATCCAGGATGGTGTAAATGGGTTGGAAGGGATTGGCTCTTGTGCGGCAGCGCGTTTTCAACAGCCTCGGGGACTTACTTGCGGATCACTACCGCGGTGTTGTTCTTTCCGCATGCCTTCCGCCAGCCATCCCCACCCACACAACACAACCCGTTTTTTTGAAAGCTCAAATCGATGACGAACTAGCCATTCCAGCCAGCACATTCTTGACCAAGCTCCCTCTCACTACCAGCAACTCTAGCGCTCGAATCACGTTATCGCGTTGGTCGATGTGTTACAGTAGTTTTCTGCCTCGGTCGCATTTCTCCCGACTTGTAGCAGTCCGTGCTACTATCAGCTTCTTCTAACAATCTCTAGCCTATCGATAAACATTGAATGAAGCAATGGCAGCGATGCAATGCAAGGTGCGAGGCAACAGCCTGACGACCGTCACGTCGTTGAATCCCCGATTGGCTCCGCCGTGGAAGCCCACGGACGGTCACGATGAAGCGGACTTGCCAGCTCCAATCAAACTCTGCGATGTGACTGTAGCGATCGCAGAGGTTCCGCGCGACGCTCGTTACATGTGCGACCGTACGGAGGACAGAGTGCGTTCCGATTCTTGATGTTTCCAGCCAATCCGATCCCCTTACATTTTCCGAGTGCGCTCCCATTTGATTCTCAAACAAGGTTTTTTTACGCTCTCAGCTACGGACCACGCTTCGTGTGATGAGGCGATTTTTGAGTCGACTCAAAAATCGCTCTCAGCCACGGACCACGCTTCGTTTAAAGAAGGGTTGTTTTTATTCGAAATCTAGGGTTTGAGATGAAGCGTAGAAAAGCTCCATGGTTCCTCCCCGGCGTGGATTTGGCAGGCCAATGAGCTGGAGCGGCGAAATCAACGGTTCATCGCAGCCCTTGCTAGGGCGGATCCGACGTTCGACCCCGCGAAGCAAACCCTGATGGCCTCTCAGGTGAGATCAAGATCGTCTCAGGTGAGTCGTCTTAGGTGAGATCGTCTCATGTTTTCCAGATGAGATCGTATTTGATGAGCAGGTAAAATTTCTCCAGGCGAGATCGTTTCAACGTAACCACCTGCCTCCCCCACATCTCCCCACTCCCCCGCCCCACCTCTTCCCCCCACCTGATTCCCCCACCTCGTCCCCCACCTCTCCCCTCGCAGACCAGTGTGATGGCGGTGGGTCGTGTCATATGCGATGCAGAGGCAGCAACAGCACGCCTCAACGAGTCTTCAGTGCTTCTGGAAGGATGGTGAGTAGTGCAGACAAGTGCTTGTAGAGGGGGGAAGCTGTTCTTCTGGAAGGATGGCAGGTGCTTGTAGCGGGGGTGAACTTGTTCTGGTTGAAGGGGTATGTGCAGAGGCAGCATCGGCACGCCTCAATGAGTCCTCAGTGCTCCTGGAAGGATGGTGAGTGTGCTTGGAAGGAGGAAGGGGGGTGTGCTCGCAAGGGGGTGGAGGGGAGCTTTGTTTGTTGAAACGCCTATTGCAGAGGCGGCATCGGCGCGCATCAACGAGTCCTCAGTGCTTCTGGAAGGATGGTGAGTGCGGACAAGTGCTTGTAATGGGGGAAGCTGTGCCCCTGGAAGGATAGTGAGTGTGCTTGTAACGGGTGGAAGTTGTGTTTGTTGAAACGCCTTTTGCAGAGGCTGCATCAGCACGCTTCAATGAGTCATCAGTGCTCTTGGAAAGATGACAAGTGCTGCTGACACTACTGTAAGTGCTTGTAGCGAGGGATAAGCTGTGCTCCTGGAAGGATGGGAATCGCTGACACTTCTGAAAGTGCCCAGGGGAATCTGTGCTGTTGCGTAGCATATTCTGAGATGCAGAGGCAGCATCAGCGCGCCTCATCAAATCAGATCCTGGCTGTTGAAGGCAGCAACTCATACACTTCCACTCCCGCTCTCCCAATAATCCACCCTACAGCATCGACCCCTGTCAGGGGCGTTCGGGTTCGGCTGGACTTGCGTCATCTGCCGTCCTTCTCGCTCTTCCCAGGTCAGATCCTGGCCGTTGAAGGCAGCAATTCACACATTCCCACTCCTGCGCTCCCACCACCCCACCCTCACAGCATTGACCCGTGTCAGGGCGTGAGGGTGCGTCTGGACTTGCGCCATCTGCCGTCCTTCTCGCTCTTCCCAGGGCAGATCCTGGCCGTTGAAGGCAGCAACCCCAGCGGCTATTGCCTCGTTGCTAAGCGGATTGTTGCTGCCCTGCCGTACCAGCCCGTGCCGAGCCTGACAGGCTCGGGAGCGCAGGCTCGGCGGCGGCCGAAGCGGGCGAAAACGGAAGGGACTGGGGGGAGGAGGAAAGGAGAGAGAGAGGCGGAAAGGAGAGGGGAAGAGAAAGGGAGTGGAGAGAAGGGAGAGGAGAGAGGGAAGGCAGGGGGGGGAGGTGGGGATGCGACAGGAAAGAAGGAAGAGGAAGGGAAGGTTAAGGAGGAGGGGGGTGGACGGAGAAAGGTGAATATGCTTCCGTTTGGGCTTGAGGAGGTGATTGCGCTTGATGAGATAGAGGAGATGAGGAAGCACGATGGGGGGGATGAGGGGGAGGCGAGCTGCGAAGGTGGGGAAGGGAGTAAGGTTGATAGAGAGAATGAGGTGGAAGGGGGGAAGGTGAAAGGCGAGGTGGGGGAGGAGGAGAAGAAGGAGGTTAAGTTTGAGGGTGATGCTGATAAGAATACTGCTGATGCTGAGGCTGGTTCTGGCGGTGATGCTGGTGCTATTGCTGGTGACGGTGGTGATAAGGATGGGGAGGGTGGAGTGGAGAAGGGGACAGAGGAGAAGGTGGGTGGTGATGCTGCTGGTGGTGGTAACGTGGCTTCTGGCAGTGATGCTGCTGAGGTGCAAGAGAGGGTGGAGGCTGGGACTGAGGGGATGGATACAGAAGGAGTCAGGGCGGTGGAGAGCGGTGCTGCTGGTGTAAAGGCCGAGGGTAATGAGGAAGAGGAAGAGGACGATGATGAGATGAGGATTGTGAGTTCTCTGGCCCTGCTCCCTCATGTGACTTGTGCTCTTGACAAAGTGACTATTGAGTCGACTCAAAAGCCACCTCGTTTTCCTTGAGTCGACCAGTCAGACGATGACGAGATCAAGATTGTGAGTTCTCTGGCCCTGCTCCCTCATGTGTCCTATGCTCCTCACCAAATTCACTACTTCCGCCTTTTTTGTCTTGCTCTTCCTCCTGTTGCCATTGCTTCCCGAAAGGGAATATTGAGCAATCAAGGACTCCTTCGACCCCCCTCTGGCGCAGCAGCCGCATCGCGTAGAACCATGTTTTTATGGTGTAGAAAACCTTTCACTTGGTTTTCCATGGTTTTCGCCTTTCCATGGTTTTCGCCATTCACCACATTCTACGTGTTTTGATATCATGTTTCCTGGTCCGTAGCCCGCCATAATTTCTTTCTCCCTGTTTTTTTTTTTTCTTTTCGTTTCTTCCTTTTTGCTTTTGTTTTTTCTTCTTCTTGTGTGATCAGATCGCGGCAGCAGGTCCCTTCACCACGATTGACTCGTGGTCATTTGAGCCGCTAAAGGACCTGATCAAATTCGCACTGCAGCGACCACCGGATGTGCTGCTGCTGGTATGTTAACCTGCCGTTGCCTGCTGTTACCTTGCTACTGGCATGCTGGCATGCTGGCATGTTGACTCGTGGTCATTCAAGCCGCTCGAAGGTCGTATCAGATTCGCACTGCAACAACCGCCTGACGTGCTCCTGCTGGTATGTGTATGCCTCACTGTACCCGCTGGTTTATTGCTGCTGTTATGCCGCTGCAGCTGGCAAGTCAACGCCTCTCTTCACCTGCTGCTGTGTTGCTGTTAGTGTGCTGTGCTATGCCGTGCGGACTTCCTGGCATGCTGGACCATGAGTATCCATGCCAGCAAGTACTAGACTCATGCTGTACTAGTCATGGTACTCGACTCATGGTCATTCCAACTGCTAAGGGCCGTCATGAGATTCGCATTGCAGCAACCACCGAAACGTGCTGCTGCCGGTACGTGTATGCCTGCCTCACTTCACCTGCTGCTGCCGGTACGTGTATGCCTGCCTCACTTCACCTGCTGCTGCCTTGTTACTGACATGCTGACTCATGGTCATCTGATGCTCGGAAAGACGTGATCAGATTCGCACTGCAGCCTCCACTGGACGTGCTGCTGCTGGTAGGTATGTTCACTCAACCCCCCATGACAATGTGCCATTGCTAGCTAGTAGCTCATATGCGCATATGAGCTGCTCTGCATTTGTGTGCATTTCTTCGTATGCATGTATGCACATGTGTGGGACGGTTGTGTGTGTGGACGTACTTGGTGAGGCGCCCACTGCCACCCACCCCCTCCTCCAGTTCCCTTTCCCTCTCTGGTGTACGCATGTGAGTAGCTCATCTGCATTTGTGTACGCATGTATGCACACATACATGCGTACATGCTCATTTGTATGGGACGGTTGTGTGTGTGGACGTACTTGGTGAGGCGCCCACTGCCACCTACCCCCTCCCTCCCCGGCCTTTCTATGTTTTCCCCTTTTTATACCACATGAGTCCTTTATCGATCGCGAGCATCCTGATGTTGCTTTGGATGGGGCTGTTTTTGTATGAAGGGATGGCCGCTTTGACCAGACCCACGACGAGACGAGGCACTCCTCTCCTCTCCACAGTCCACCTGCCAATATGACTTTTGAGTCGACTCAAAAGTCAACCAGACCCACGACGAGGCACTCCTCTCCTCTCCACAGTCCACCTGCCAATTTACATATGCTGCCAATTCCCTTTAGGCTGAATCTGGTTTTTTTTAGAATTCTCAAAAAATTGACCAGACCTACGACGAGGCACTCCTCTCCACGGTCCACCTGCCAATTTACATATGCTGCCAATTCCCTTGGTTCAATATACCCCACTGGCACTCCACCCCTCCACCTACCTTCACACCAGATCGGCGCCTTTATCGATCGAGAGCATCCTGATGCGCGGGACAGCTGTGTTGACCAGACCTATGAGGCACCCACCTCCATCCCCCCCCTCCCCCTCCCTCTCCTCCTTGCTCCCCTCCCCCACCCTTCTATGTTTCCCCTCTTGATCAGATTGGCCCCTTTATTGACAGAGAGCATCCTGATGCGCGGGACGGCTGTGTGTGTGGACCAGACCTATGAGGCGCCCCCATTCCCCCCTTCCTCTTCTCCCCCCCTCCCCGCTCCCCACCATTCTGTGTTCCCCCCACTTGACCAGATTGGCCCCTTTATTGACAGAGAGCATCCTGATGCGCGGGACGGCTGTGTGTGTGGACCAGACTTATGAGGCGCCCCCATTTAAACCTTCTCTTTTCAAAACTGCTGCTCGCTGGAATGTCTAACAACCCACCACCCTACCTTTTGTATGTTTCCCCTTTTACCCTTTTATCAGGTCGGCCCTTTCATTGACCGAGAGCACCCTGATGCACGGGACGGTTGTGTGGAGCACACCTACGAGGCGCTCTTTCAGCAGCACATCCGCGCACAGGTGAAGAAGGGGGATGGGCAGGTAGGGGGACAAAGGGGGAAAGCTAGGAGGACGAGAAAGCTGTGTCGACCACACCTACGAGGCGCTCTTTCAGCAGCACATCCGCGCACAGGTGAAGATGGAGAGGGAAGGGCAGGAGGAGCAGGAAGGAGACCGTGGGGACCCACGGGAAAAGCAGCGCAAGTGTGGACCAGAGTAACCAGACGTATGTGGCACATATACGCATCCTTCAGCAGCACATCTGCGCACAAATGATTGGGTGGGGAAGACTTTTGAGGCGCCTCAAAAGTCCTTCAGCAGCACATCTGCGCACAAATGATTGGGTGGGGAAGGCGGGCTGGCTGCGGAAGGTGGGGAAGACTTTTGAGAGCGGGCAGGAGGCACCTGCATAGTGGCCCTCCTCTCTCAGGTGGAGGAGTATTGTGAACGGCAGGAGGCACCTGCAAGGTGCCGCTGCTCCCGTCACCGCTTCTGCTGCTGCTGCCATCCTGACTAATCTTTTCTTTCCTCTCCCCACTCCCTCTGCTCCCATCGCTTTCTATTCCCTGCTCTCTGCCTGCGTTCTCTGGTGGAGGAGCATTGTGAGCGGGCAGGAGGCACCTGCAAGGTCTGCTGCCACCGCCACTGCTGCTGCTGCTGTTGCCCTGTATGAGATATCCTTTTCTCTCCCCCCCTCTCAGGTGGAGGACTATTGTGAGCAGGCAGGGGGCACGTGCAAGGTGCTGCTGCTGCCATCATTGAGAGACGCCCACCGCGCCATCTCAAGACACTCTTTTCCTCCTCTGCTCCTCCTTGTTTCTCTTTCCCCCCTGTATCCCCTGCTCCTGCCCCACCCCTTAGGTGGAAGAGTTTTGTGAGAGGGCAGGAGGCACCTGCAAGGTGCTCCTGCTGCCGTCACTCAGAGACGCACACCACACCATGATCTTTCCTCAGGTGAATCCTCAGGTGGCCGTGCTTTCAGGGGGGGGTTCTCACTCACTCTGAGACGCCCACCATGCCAGGGGGTCTGGCAAGTTCAGACACCGTTCAGCCTGTCTAACACACAGGTATGAAGTATCGAGGTGACTTTTGAGTCGACTCAAAAGTCACTTCAGACACCGTTCAGCCTGTCTAACACACAGGTATGAAGTATCTCTGTGTGTTACCATCCCTTGGCAGCCTCTGTTTGACCCATCTCATTCTGAACAACTGTAAAAGCCCATTGTGACCCTTGAGAAGTCCTCTGAATCCCTCGAATGGTCCTTGCATTAATCAGGGGGGGTGTTACAAGGGAGATGCAAACACAAGCAAGACAAACAGCCAGACCTCAATTCTACCTATCACACCTACTCCTTCCCTCTCCCGGCCCCCTCTGTCCGACCCTACTGGCCGAACGGGGGCTCAATCAGCTGGTGCAGCTGTCCCTCGCTAAGAGGGACGATGGGGCCCTGCATGCCGAGCTCATCCGCTGCCAAGGCCTCGTTGGTCTTGGAGCGGAGGGCATTGGCCTGCGCTCTCTGGAGGCAGACACTCCAGCGCTGGCGGTACTCCGTCAGCAGCTTGGCTGCCTCGTATGAGGTAGGAGCTGCGTTGTATCGCAGCTTGGTCGCTAGCTCCGCGCACTGCCGCAGGTAAGCCAGCACCCCCGGGTAAGCCAGCACCCCCGGGTAAGCCAGCACCTCCGGGTAAGCCAGCACCCCCGGGGAAGGACAGCCGTAAGTCTCGACTGCGAGGGCGTGTAAGCCCACCCACGCGTTCCTTCGCGCGTATTTCTCCTCCTTCCTAGCTGCTGCCGCCCTTGCCGCCCACCCTGGAGCCCGACTGCATTCTTCATCCTGGTAGGACACGGAATCCCTCTGTATCCCTCCTTGTGGATCTTCCTCTCTCCCCCTCTCTGCATGTGAGTAGCCTCCCTTTGGCTCGTCTGACTTTGAAGACCCCCGCAAGCACGTTGCGACTCTTGGATATTCCTCTCAATCCCCCTGAATCCCCCTGGATCCCCCTGAACTGAATCCCCCTGAATCCCCCTGAATCCCCCTGAATCTCCCTGAATCTCCCTGAATCCCCCTGAATCCCCCTGAATCCCCCTGAATCCCCCTGGGTCCCCTGGAATCCCTCTGCATCCGTCCGTGTGGAACACCTCTTCCTCTTTCCCCGTCTCTGCATGTGAGCAGCCCCCCTTTGACTTGTCTAGCAAGTCCTCACACTAGGCAACCCTCTAAATCCCTTTACATCTCTTTTTTTGGTCCCTTCCTCTCTACCCCTCTCTGCACGTGAGCAGCCTCCCTTTGAATCGTCTGACTTTGAAGACCCGCAAAAGCAAGTCTTGATGCTTGGAAACCCCTCTCAACCCCTTAAAATCTCTCCCTAAACGCCCCTTCCTCTCTCTCTCCCCCTCCCTGCATGTGAGCAGCCCCCCTTTGACTCATCTGACTTTGAAGACCCGCGCAAGCAAGTTCTCATGCTTGGGAACCCCTCTGAACTCCTTTACATCTCTCTGTTTGGAACCCTCTTTCATCTTTCCCCCTCTCTGCATGTGAGCAGCCTCCCTTTGACTCATCTGACTTTGAAGACCCACGTAAGCAAGTCCTCACACTAGGCAACCCCTCCGCCTTTATGCTCGATAACCAGGTCAGCGTTGCTGTGTTGTGATTTGTTTTTTAGAATTGTAAATTTGACTTTGAATCTGAAGACCCACGAGAGCAAGTCCTCACACTTGGCAACCCCTCCGCCTTTACACTGCTATGTTGCACATCCCTCGAATCCATCCACACGATTTTCGTTGATGTGGGCAAACCAGCGTTGTAGCAACAGGGTTCATCTCGTCGTCTCGTCTCATTGTCACTTTGCGGATGTATCTATGCACAACAAATACCGTATTGTGACCCAAAACTCAATTTCCATCAAGACAATTTATTGGAGTTATGAGGCGCCTCAAAAGTAAAATATATGGAGTTTCCACTTGAATTTGTTGATTCGCCTATCTTTGTCCACTTCGCCTGCTTCTGGCCGAAGGATCAAACTCCTGAAAATCCTAAAAAGTATCTCTCTTTTGCACTTGCCAGGTTGGCATCGCCTGCTCGTCCACCGACATCCTCCGCCACCTCAGCAAGGAGGAGATCGCCCGCGTGGCGCCAGGAGACAGCGCCACGTCAGACCGCATGTCCAGGCTGGCGGCGCACGTGATTGGCCAGAGGAGCTTCTACCCGCTCTTCCCTCCCCCGCCCGCCACCTGTCTCGACCTCTCCTGCTGCCCCCAAGCCCTGGATCTCCCATTTGCTCCTCACCTCCTCTTCCTCCCATCAGACCTTGTCCCTTTCGTGAAGGTAAGCCTTCCTTTGCCCTCACCCTCCTTCTCCACTTCTCTTCACTTCCTGTCTCTTGCTCTTCCCTCCCCCGCCCGCCACCTATCTCGACCTCTCCTGCTTCCCCCAAGCCTTGGACCTCCCCTTTGCTCCTCACCTCCACTTCCTCCCATCCGACCTCGTGCCCTTTGTCAAGGTGAGCCGTCTTCCTTCCTCAACAACTTCCCCTTTCACGCCACCTGTCTTGACCTCTCCTGCTGCCCCCTTGTATCTTCCTTTCTCTCCTCACCTCCTCTTCCTCCCATCCGACCTCGTCCCCTTTGTCAAGGTGAGCCCTCGTCCCTCCTCTTCTCTTCTCCCCCCTTTTCTCCCCTGCCACCTGTGTCGACCTCTCCTGCTGCCCCCAAGCCTTGGTCCTTCCGTTTGCACCTCACCTCCTCTTCCTTCCATCTGACCTCGTCCCCTTTGTCAAGGTTAGCTCTCCTCCTTCGCTCCTCACCCCCTCTCCTTCACCACTTTCAGTCGGCGAGTCACATCTTCTCTTCTCCGTACACTACCACACTCCCTCTCTCCCCTCTCCCACACCTGCCACCTGCCTCGATCTATCCTGATGTTCCAAAGCCTTGGATCTCCCGTTTGCTCCTCACCTCCTCTTCCTCCCATCTGACCTCGTCCCTTCTGTCAACACTTCTCTTCTCTTCTTCACACTCTCTTCCTCTCCCTTCCCACCTCCCCCCCAGTGACACCTGCCTCGATCTCTCTTGCCGCCCCCGAGTCCTCGAGCCTCCCTTTATCCCTCACTTCCCCTTCGCCCCCCGCCTCCCTTTCGACCTGCACCTTCTGTTACTTCCATCCAACCTCTCCCCTTCCGTGCCATTGTTTCTTTTGTCTGCAGGTTTTGCCCATGCAACAACCACCACAGCAGCAGCAGCAGCAGCAGCAGCAGCAGCAGCAACTACAGCAGCAGCAGCACGCAGCTACTGTGGACTCAGGTCTTCCAGGTGGTACAACAACACAAGCTGGAGCTCAGGCGACCAAGCCAGATGCAGCGTCACCAGCAACATCAGCAGCAGCCTCACCACTTGCACCACCACCTGTACCAGCAGCAGCACAAGCAGTGGCGGCTGAAGCTGCCAAAGAAAACGGTTCGGTGTTTCAGCCTGTGTGCATTAATCCGGGGCACCTTGCTAAGGGGTCCGGTGGAGGGACATTCGCGGAGGTGATTATCAAGGGGGGTTTAGGAGGCGAAGAGGATGTGGCCCACTTCCATGAACGAGCTGCTGTACATATCTATCGAATCTAGTCATAGGTAGGTGCTCAAATAGTTGCATGTTTTACGTGTGGAAGAAAAAATAACAATTATCCATCCAGGGGGTGGATATTTTTGTTTTCATGAGCAAGGTGTTTTTTATACCAATTGTATATTTTTGTTTTGTAGTTCCATAAGTTGCATTACGTTTTCACTGCAATCTCTAGGAATTCATGTAGGGGTAAGTAGCTTTCGCGGGGGTACCACTAGGGACCCCGCGCTTTGTAGGGAGCTACAGTGCCAGCGGGGGGCACTTTCCGCCCCTCCGTGCCTCAGACAGAGGAATTATAGAAACAACACAGAACTCTTCCCCACATTCACCCACGTGGCACAAGTTTCCATGCCAACTACTGCACTGAGCAACTTGTCAACTGTGCACAGTTGACTTTTGTCCCTTCTGCCAAATCGAATCCTCACTCTGGGTGGCTCGGCTGCCACTGTTCCGAAATCTGTTGAGCTAGTTTGTCGCGCCCTAGATTTCGAAACACAGGCCCAGCTCGCCAGACGGAAACGGAGAACACTACAGCTGATGCCTGTTTGAGCCCCTCCCGGTTGCCTTGTGAAGGGGGCGTTTAAGCTGTACGAGGCATTTCGCTTAAGTTCGTCAATTCGCAGCTAGCTAAAAAGAATTCGCATGTGCTTATAAACAAGACCCTGCTACCTAGTTACCTTGTTTGACTTCAGTCTCTTCTGCTTGACTTCGGTCTCTTCTGCTTGACGCGCTTGTAATGTGGGTGCATGAAGCTGGGGAAACAACCTCGGGTGCAGCGTATCCATCCGGTGCAAGGCAAATTCGCGCGCATGGGGTGAGCATCAGCTGTAGCATTCCGTCAGGTTGTTTGAATCCCTTGATCTCACGAATGCTAGTGTTCTCCGTTTCCGTCTGGCAAGCTGGGCCTGTGTTTCGAAATCTAGGGCGCGACAAACTAGCTCAACAGATTTCGGAACAGTGGCAGCCGAGCCACCCAGAGTGAGGATTCGATTTGGCAGAAGGGACAAAAGTCAATTGTGCACAGTTGACAAGTTCCTCAGTGCAGTAGTTGGCATGGAAACTTGTGCCACGTGGGTGAATGTGGGGAAGAGTTCTGTGTTGTTTCTATAATTCCTCTGTCTGAGGCACGGAGGGACGGAAAGTGCCCCCCGCTGGCACTGTAGCTCCCTACAAAGCGCGGGGTCCCTAGTGGTACCCCCGCGAAAGCTACTTACCCTTCATGTAGTGTAACTCAAACTTGGATTCTTGAGAGAATTACCGCGGCACGGGGTTGGGCATCTGGAATATTTCTTATAGCGTGCCAATTTTGTATTACCACATTGCGACGTGAATCCACCTTTTGTCCCGCGCTTCCCGCGGTGCCGTCATTTCGTATTGAAAAACGAAGTGTAGCTATCAGTGTACGGTCACTTCGAAAATGTTTGCCAGGATTACACATGGTCGCCTCCAATATTGTTGGAACCAGACCGCAAATTTCGAGGGAGTCCAAACCTACGTGGATAGGTTTGGCTCGATCCCCCCAACATCCCAGCCATGAGCATGTGTTCGTTTTGACATGTGTTCGCCAGCTCGTTCACCCTAGATGGCCCATGAATCGCTGACGCGGATTGATAAAAAACCGTCCGAAACACTATAGACGTCAGACTGAGCATCATCCAAGCCACTTCAGACACTGCCAATCAAACAACTCGAGGTTAAAAAGCAAGGAGTTTCGATATACGCTGAGCATAATACCAGAAAATATTAATGAATAATACACATAAAACCGTTAACATTGAGAAGAATAGAACGAGTATGAATGAACTATGAATGAAGTGAGTACATATAGGAAACCCTAGTTGGGTTGTACCCCCTATGGGATACCCCACTACAGCCTACACAATAGCATAAGCTATATATATGTTCTGACACACCCCCATAGGCAAAGTGGGGGAGAACAAGGGGTCACAAGACCAGTCAAGCAAAGCAAAGCAAAGCTCAGGGTGGATCACAAAGTCACCACACAGTCCGAGCACAAGAACAAGGCCAAAGGCCAGTTCACATGCAGGAGTACAGACATATATATATAAAGCTAGACAAGCAAGAGCAGGTATATATATGTGACAGTACAAGTGAGGTCAAGAGGAGAGCAAGTGAGGCAAAACAGGTACAAGACCCAGCTGGGTGCAGAAGCGCTGATGGTCACAAGGCGCGAGTGCCTCGGTGAACACATCAGCAGTGTTGGCCTCAAAGGCCACGTACGCAAGCCGCAACTGTCCACGCTGCTGTAGCTCACGAGCAAGGAAGTAGCGAAGAGCAATGTGCTTCGTTCTGTGCTCCAGACGGTGCTCTCGACACAAGGCCAGCATGGCCTTGTTGTCTACGTACAGCACTGGAGGAGAACGAGGCGGCTCTCCAAGGTCAGTCAGCAGGTAGGTGAGCCAGCGAAGCTCCTGTGCAGCCATGGCCCCTGCGTAGATCTCAGCCTCACAACTGGAGCTGAGAACCGAAGACGAGCGAGTAGCCCGCCACGAGACAGAGCCGGAACCAAGGCTGAAGGTGTAACCCTGTGACGACCGCTGCGTAGCCTGGTCGTCAGCCCAAGAAGCGTCCGCGTGACCTGTAAGGACCACTGGACTCCGCCCTCCAAGCACTAGCCCCATGCCCGACGTACTGCACAGGTAGCGCAATACCCTCTTCGCTGCAGCCATGTGCTCTGGTCGGTGTCTCCCAGGAGCAACATAGCGTGCAAGAATGCTAAGAGGGTATGCAAGGTTTGGTCGTGTGCAGGTCATCAGGTACATGAGGCAGCCAACAAGCTCTGGGTACGGGCCACTCGACTCTATGGACTCATCCGAAGGCAGAGCTGAGAGCGAGTGACGAGTAGACAGAGGAGTGGCCTGAGGCGAGGAGTACGTGAAGCGGAAGCGCTGAAGGACCTGCTGCACCATGTGTGATTGAGTCAAGGTAATGGTGCGGCGTGCTCTGTCCCGATTGATCTGCAAGCCAAGGTAGCTGCGCAGTTCACCCAGGTCTGTGCACGTGTGTCTCTTCAGCAGCTCGGACTTCACGTAGGCGAGTCCAGCAGTGTCCGCTGTGGCAAAGACCAAGTCGTCGACGTACACGAGGATGTAGAACGGCGGCAGAGAAGTGTCGGTGCGCAGAAACAGCGACGGGTCAGCAGTAGAAGGAGCAAATCCAAGAGCCGCAAGCGTAGTCCTCAGTGTGTCGTGCCACTCACGCGGTGCCTGGCGGAGACCGTAGACTGGCCGTCGGATGCTCCACTGGGTGCCAGGAGGGAAAGTCCCAGTGAAGCCAGGTGGACGGCGCAACCAGATCTCCTCGTGCGGGCTACCCTGCAAGAACGCAGTGCTGAAGTCGAGAGAGTGAAGCTCGTAGTCGCGCTGCGCGGCTATGTGCAGCAGCACCCGAAGAGTGGTCATCTTCGGGGTGGGAGAGAAGGTCTGAAAGTAGTCAACTCCCTGCCGCTGACTGAAGCCACGAGCGACGTACCGCGCCTTGAAGACAGGTGGAGAGCCCGGCGGCCGCTTCACCCTGAAGATCCACATGCCACTGACGATGTTCGCCCCAGGAGGGGGAACCGCGTCAACGTAGGTGCCTGTGGACTTCCACGAAGCCATCTCTGCATCCATAGCTGCCTGCCACTGAGAGGAGTAGGGACCCTCTACGGCCTCCGCGTAAGAGTGCGGAGTCGGGATGTCTAGTGCATCCGGGTCTCCCTCAGGAGCAAGCAGTACAGACGCGAGATGAGGTGAAGCAGCAGCCAGACACTGGAACTCCTCCTGCCTGTCCTCTAGGACGTCCGTGCCAAGAGCACACTCACCCCCAACGGACGGAGGACAGACAGACGCAGACTCAACAACAAGACTAGCAGCGTAGTCTAGACGACAGCGAGCAGCAAAGTCGACGAGCTCAGCGACAAGAGGAGACGCATCAGCGGACTCAAAAGAGGGGTCAGTGACGACAGTAGCAAGCAGACGCGTGACAGTAGGACTGGCAGCACGAAGGGAGTCCGACTCTGGGTCGGTAAGCACAGGAAGGGAGGACTCAGGAGGAGAAGGCAAAGGGGCATGCAGAGGAGCAGTGGACGGACGCAGAGACATCCGGTGCGTGCCAGGGACAGGAGGAGGACGCTGACGCGAACCACGACCACTAGCGCGAGCAGCACGAACAGGCAACGCGGGACGAGACGCAGGCTCACGACGCTCAGCAAGACCTCCAGTAGGACCAGTGTAAGGAGAGGGAGCAGGCAGTGGGGAGGTGGGCTCCAACAGTGACTGCGACTGGACAGGCTGTGGACACTCTACCGGAGGAGAAAGACCAAGAACCTGCTGCAGGAGCGGAACGAAGTACGGCCGAGGCCGCGCGGCAGCTCCAGACTCAGCAGGGACAGCACCAGCACCCTCAGCGGCAGCACCAGCGCCACCAACACCTCCAGCGGCAGGACCTCCAGCAGCACCAGCAGCAGAACCACCGCCAGGACAAACAGCAGTAGTCTCAGCACCAACACCCTCAGCAGCTCCAGCTCCAGTAGGACCCGCAGGCCCAGCAGCTCCGGGACCGGCGGCACCAGCACCCTCGACGGTCGAAGAAGCTCCAGCTCCAGCAGTACGCCTCCAGCGGCGAGCAAACCACTCGCGCAGCTCCTGTGGAGAGAGGGGCTCCCGCCGAGACGCAGCACCAGGAGAAACCCCAGGCTCAGCAGCACCAGACGCAGCACCCCCAGGCTCAGCAGCTCCAGACCCAGCACCCCCAGGCTCAGCAGCTCCAGACTCAGCACCCCCAGGCTCAGCAGCTCTAGACTCAGCACCCCCAGGCTCAGCAGCTCCAAACTCGGTACCCCCAGACTCAGCACCCCCTAGCTCAGCAGCTCTAGGCACAGCACCCCCCGGCTCAGCACCCCCAGGCTCAGCACCCTCAGCAGTGGCACCCCCAAGCTCAGCACCCCTAGTAGCAACACCTCCAGGCTCGACACCCCCGCGGACAGCACCCCCAGAGTCAG